TCTTTCTGTAAGTTATTGCTATCAGTCTCACTTTTGAGCTCTGGAAGTGTTTGCATTATGTATATGCTAAATAATAATAATAATAATAATAAACCCCTAAATTGGGCCCCTTTGTGCCCAAAGTTTCAATTCAAACCCAATCAATGCATACAATATGTTTGTTTTCTAGATTAATTACAAGTTTTTATTGCTTTACAGTTAGTTTCTGATGGTCCAGTTTTGAATTGTTTAGGTCAATATGCTTCCTGATTCAATTGTCATTCATCCATTTCTTGTTTGCTCACATACTTAATTTCTTGTAGGTCCTTGGTGGCTTCTTGAATTTATAGGGCTTTGAAAGTCTTTTCAGGTATCAAACTCTGAATTTATTGTTCTACATTTCAATTTTTCACATATTACCATATGTACATTTATATGTTCTTCATGTTGATCATGTTGAATTTTTTTGTAAGCTTCTCTTATAACCTTACAGACTAGTAGATTTTCAAATCATATCTGAATTTATGGGGTTGGTGAAATCAGATCTTCGGGCATTTAACCATTTTATTGTTGCGGTATTGTTGTCCATTGCGAGGGTCCGGAAGTTCAGTGAGTGTTCAATCGGAATTTTGAAGACAGCAATAACTACATCATACCGTGATTACAGTCTTTCCAAGTGAGGGTTGAAGGGTATTAAGTTCTATCTCATGTTTAAAGTTAATATAGTACAGTGGTAGTATTGTTGTATCCTAAGTTCAAATGGGTTTTTGTGGTGCTAATATGTTCCATGGAAATTAAAGCTATCCAATTTGTTGAAATATGATTTCAGTAGAATTTAATTTGAAATTCCAGACTTTGTTCAATTGAGTTGAATCAGGTTTGTGGGATTTTTAATTGAGTTCATCACGGCATGGATGGTAATCAAATGTAGTTGTCTTGTATTCCAGGAAGCATGTTTAATTGGGTTAGTTTTGTAGGATTTAATTTCATGTACTAGTGTCCAATTAGTTTGAATTGTTGTGATATCATTGCCATATTAATGTAGTGACTTTTATTTCAGACATTTGATGTTTGTCACCTGTTGCGGGATTAGTGTTTAGGTGTCTGATTTTGTGACTTGGAGAACCGTCAGTGTGTCTTGATAATTTAGACTAATGATGGTTTCAAGGGATGCACATTTTAGTTTTAAATTTTTTGTATTAGTCTAGTTTTAATATAATCCTTATTTTTCAGGGTTTGTAATTGGCTACCGGATGACTTGAAGGAAGAATATCTGCACAGTGTGAAAGTAGTGGAGAAGGCAGTGTTGAGAGCTGTAATTTTCCCTTGTCTTTTCATTCTGTTCATTTGAAATCATCTGTGCCACGGTAGACATGAAGATGTGAATAAGATATATGTGCTTATTGCTAAACTTTAGTGAGATGATGCTAGTGATGTCCTTTCTTCTGTTAGCTTTATATTATTGCTTAGTTAGTCTTTCTTGTACAATGTATGACAGCAAAAAAAAAAAAAAAAAGATGAATTTTTATATTTTTAATTATGGATGAATTTTTATTTATATACTGGACTTTTTATATTATTATGTAATTATCAATTTTTTTTTAGTTATTTTTCATTTAATACAGGTTATTTTCATATTTTAAATAATTTTATTACAATTTTTCTTCTTGTTGAGATGGCACCACACACACCGTCTCAAAAAGAAAATAGAACCAGGGGTTTTTGCGACGGCAGTAATGCTGTCGCAAAAGATAGGGGAATTGGTTGAAGAGGAAGACCTTTAACAACGGTGTTATTTGTCGTCGCTAATAGTACTTTAGCGACGACATCAGGTGCTGTCTCAAATAACCCTTTAGCGACGGTATGCTTGTCGTCGCAAATAACGCTTTTAGCGATGGCAACACAGTGCCGTCTCAAAAAATCTCAGATTTTCACGCATTAATGCTGACAGCATTTTTTCGTCGCAAAAAGGCATTTTTGCCGTCGCAAAAAAAAGGCGACGGCGTTATACCGTCGCTAAAACTCTTTTGCAACCCCCTTTGTTGCGACCCTCCACTTGTCGTCGCAAAAAGCCAATTGCCGTCGCAAAAAACCTTTTGAGACGGCGTTTTGGGTATTTGCGACGGCAAAATTTTTGTAGTGTTATATTTGAATTTTTTCCTCCCAAGGAAACATTTAAGGAAATATATTGGAAAAAAGTTTTGAAATCGAGTGGTGATTCATCCCATTAATTTTTGGACCACTAATAGCTCTAATGAGCTTAAAAAAAAAAAAATAATGAGCTTTAAAAAAAAAAAAAAAAAAAACTCAAGCCAAAACATCACATCACTTTAGTAGGGGCCACTGTGCCACATCATTAGTGATGCTCTAGAGCTCCCAATTTAGTGCTCTAAAACATTATTCTTTGAAATCATTTTAGATCACTAAATTTATTGGTTTAAAATGGAAATGTACCATGTTTCATAACTTATGTACCAATATGTAATTTACTTGAGTATTAGTGTTTTCTGATAACACAACATGGGACATTATTGGCCCACCATGGAAGTAGATGCTAAGACATTTGCCAAACTTTGCAAACCTTGCTAGCTCCATGGAAATCTCATTCATGCTCCAACCACTGACTCACATAGTTTAGGCTCCCCAAGGCTCTTCCACACTTGGACCGCGGATCTTACTGGCCCTATTTCTCCATCATCTAGAGGACACATGGATTGTTGCTGCCACAGAAGCTTACACTAAGTGGATGGATGCCTTACCATTTAAGAAAGCAACAAGGACCCACCATTTCAAACTTTATCCAAGAATACATCATCTGCTGCTTTGGTACACCCAAAGTAATCCTTTAAGAGAATGAAACCCCTTTTGTTACCTCTTATGACATCATACATCACAAGTCAAAAACCTATTATCCCCAAGGAAATAGGTAAGCTGAGACAACCAATAAGACACTTCTCATAATCCTCTTAAAAACCCTCAAGGATTATTAAAGGATTGGGCCCACATGCTCCTAATGGCCCTTTGGGCATATAGTGTTGTATAAATTGTGTACTTAAATAAAATAAATAAATTCATATTGAACAACCACTTTGAATTTCATAACAAGAACATGTTAGAATTTACAGAAATTCATAATAAAATAAAATTAGTAGAAAGCAAACCGAAACCTGTGTGATACCACAGTGTCCTTAAAATAGATTAGCTGCCTCACCGTGGGTGCTCCAGGAACGTTGACTTCTGTCTCTCAGGATACGGGGTTTAGACTGGGCTAACGCAGAAGCATCTTCTGTTAGCTTTGGCGAACTTGATAATGAATGCTCATTTTCTAACAAGAACCAAAGAAGGGACTAGCAAAAGATAAGAATGGAGATTTATTTCCTTTATCTCATTTTCTCACTCTCTCTTTGTATAGCGGAGCTAACTGCACGGTGGGAACAGCTTGAAGTCATGTAGCAATGGCTATGAATTTTGGCCCCATCTTGAAAGCTTGTCACATTTGGTAGATGTAATATAGATTTTTGTTTTTGGGAAGTGATTGAATCTTTTGATGTTGGTATTTGAATACAAGATTGGGGGTGTGTACCATACCATTGCCCATATATGATGCCTTATATTTCACCAACTTTAATTTCTTGCTTAAATTGTTTTTTTGGGTTGTTTAAGGGGGGATGTACTAGGTATGGGAGCAAGGATCCTCTCCTTGGCTCCTTACTTGGTGGGTCATTGGGCCCAATTTTGATGATCTAAACTGTTCACATTTTAGGATTTGTCATGTATATCATACCTGTAAAAAATCAAGTTAATCGAATACCGGAAGAACCAAAAAGAGGATCCTTGCTCATGGCATGGAGGGTACCCTTTGTGAGTATGTGCATCTCAATGCCTAGGAAATAAGAGAGAGATCGTAGTTCTTTGAGAAAAAAAGCTGAGTGTAACTGAGAGATGATGGACTGAATATGAGAGAGAGAATTGCTTGTATCATCAACATAGACTAAAAGATATGTTAAAGAAGAAAAAGAAGCCTAAACAAAGAGAGAGTGATCACAAGGACTATTGACAAAACCCAATGTAAGAAGAAAAAAGGAAAAAGTAGAAAACCAAGCTCTTGGAGCTTGCTTGAGACCATAAAGGGCCTTGTTAAGCTTGCAAACATAAGTGGGAAATTGAGAGTCTTCAAAACCAAGAGGTTGAGCCATATTTTTTTTTTTTAAAAAAAAAAAGAAGAAAAGAAAAGAAAAAAAAAGATGACCAATATAATTTTAAAAATAGGGCAAATTACATCTCTATAGTTTGCTACTTGTATCAATTTAAAAAAAAAAAAGAAGAAAAGAAAAGAAAAAGAAAGATGACCAATATAATTTTAAAAATAGGGCAAATTACATCTCTATAGTTTGCTCCTTGTATCATTTTGATCTTTTTATTTTCAGTTAGCTCAATTTTGATTCTTAATTTTAAAATTTATACTAATTTAGTCCATTTGATAATGCCGTTAGTGTTTTTAACAAAAAATAATTGTTGAATTAATTGAGATTAATTAACTAAATTTATGAAATTTATAAAAAAAAATTATATAACATGTCACTTATATGCATATTTTTCATTAAAAAATCTTAAAAGTTATAATCAATTAAACCAAATTGAAATAAAATTATAAATTTAAGTCAATATCCAATCAATTAAAATTACAAGAACTAAAATGACATAAAGACCAAATTATAAGGACGACTATCACAATTTGCCTTTAAAAATAAATAATTCATTTTTTTATAACATATATGATAAAATTATGTAATTATGCTAGTCGAATCAATTTAGATGATCTACCGATTAAGCCCTGTAAGATAAACGGTTCAAATATTCATGATGTAAGTCGTATTGAGCCTAAGGGCCAGATTGGACCTCTCCAGTCCACACTTCCTGTCCATACCCGGACCAGAGAGAAGCCCAAAGCTTAATTATTTGAAATAAAAATCAAGTTGGGCTTCTTGACCCAGCCCAAAATTAGCTTGCACCAAGAAAAATATTCAAAAAGATCAGCTATCAATCAAAACTCAAAATTTGGTTTAAAATTGTGTTGGCCCAATGAGGAGTCACAAATCAAAGAGCTTCCCACAAAGCACAAATCAAACCAATTTAACTTACAAGACATTTTTTAGTATATCTGATACAACAAACACCAAACTAGGGTTAAAAAACAAAAAAACAGGAGACAAACAGAAAACAGAAAGTACATGCCAAAACACTGGCAACTTCTATGAGCATTGGATCAGCACAAAAATGTTCCAAGGATCTTTGTCACTACATTGCACCAGCTTGGACACCAGCAAATACCGAGTTGCCAATGCTCTCATTTCAAATCATCCGAAAACCAGTTAGAAGGGCCCAAGCAATGAAAAATGGAATTCCAATGTCAATTCGGCAAAAAGATGTCAAATATCTATCCACTATCACTGAATCTTCTTCGAGTTAAAGAATTTTCTGGCTGTATCGGATTTCAATTTGCATCCGTACGAAATAATTCGATAAATCAAACCATCTATTTCTTCCTCTTTTTTCTCATGCACAAAGAAAGCAACAAAGACAGCGGGAAGTCCTGCAATAATAAGAAAGAAAATACTCCGGTCAAAGCTGCAATCAAATCCCAAAAATTGAGCTCTCTTTGCAATTATCATCAAAGATGCTATATGACGAAAGATTAAAATAATTTTTTAAAAAGGAGAGCGATAGCATCATCAAAGATGCTAAGGTTGATTTTTCTGTTCTGCTGCTCAGGTTCTGAAGTGACTTGGAATTGAATTGAAATGAAATGTGAAAGTGTTTCTGAATTTATATAGGTAACCAAGACCTTTCCAAACAGGCCTGGAAAGGAGAGCGATAGAGAACAAACCTATAACAAACAAATTTTGGAGTGAAATGGCACCAAGGAAGCTGAGAATCGATAGAGACAGAACCACCTGTTCATCAGCAGATTTTAAATAATGCACACAAAAAATAAAAATAAAAATAAAAATAGTACAGCAACCTAAAGGATTAACTTGACAATTTTGTAATGGTACAATTTCGCTAACTGTAGGTCAGAGAGTCAGGACACAACTCTATGCAACAATTGTTCTTTTTTTAATTCCAAGAAGGGAAAAGGGATGGGGATGGACTTAATCTATGTATTTATTCATACATTTTTGTTTTAGCAGTGGTCATAATTCCATGCAAACAAAAGAATAGTTGCGGAAGCGTGATGTTAATCCTAATATTTATTTTCTTTGAATAATGTCCTATGTTTCTATCAAACCGATGATAAAGGACAAGAAATGCTACTGTGATAAATACCTTGAGGAATAGTCCAGTCATTCCCTTTGCTAAGGGATATTAAACCATTTACTGCTGAATTCCACGAAGAGGCCATTGAAAGAGCAACTTCATTTGACATCTCTTGCAAGAAATAGAATTTTGATACAGGAATTTTCTCAATTGTATATCCCAATCTGCAATAAATAGAAAATTCATTTAGATATGAAAGTTAGCTTTCTTGGAAATGCTTTATATCAAACCTCTACAGAACCATAAATTGTGTTAAGAGTTATGCAATTGGAGAACTATTTTTGCATTAGATAGCCATAGAATAAAACCCAAATGAACAATAATATGTTATATGCTTATGGTGCATGTGTTCATCTCACTTATATTTTGGAAATTCATCATGTTTTCTATCAAGTTTCCAAGTTTGATCATGTTTTGAAGAGGTTGGGTTTAAGAAAATTCATGCATGTTGTGCTCTTGAAACATTCATAAAGTTTATGTTGGAATTTTGTACAATTGGCAAACTTTTGGGCCTTGATTTCATGAAATGATCTTTAAACCATGATGTTTTGTGAGTTTCTAAACGTTTTCCAGAATTTTGGCCTAAGAGGATGAGTTTTGGGGTGTTGAATTCATGTTTTGAAGCTTGGGAGCAAATCTGGAAAACTCAGAATTTTGCTTCCATGCTCGAGCGAAGGATCCTACGCTCGAGCGACCGTCCTTATTTTCATGCTTCCGCTCAAGTGATAAAGGGCTGGCTCGAGCGTAAATTGCAAGCTCTCAGAAATTTGCGTGTGTAGAAGCACGCTTGAGCGACAAAACTTGCGCTCGAGCGAGGACCTATGTTTTACGCTCGAGCGAGCGTCGAGTGGAGATTTCATGCAACCAGAACTTTTTCACATTTTGCAGACTGCTCGAGCGAAGGAGTCTACGCTCGAGTGACCACTCACATTTGGCATGTCCGCTCGAGCGAAGAAAGCCACGCTCGAGCGAAACCCCTGTTTCAAAAAAATTTGGCTAAGTGTTTCAAGTACATTTTTGCATCCTCATTCAATCCTAGCCATTCTTAGGCTATGATTAAGACTCCATAATGAGGTTAAAGGTTAGAAACACACTAAGAACAATGAAATAATTTGTGTTCAATCCAAGCGTGTGTGTTCAACGTATGTATCTATCATGCTATATAGGTCACGCGCCTCAAGACAAGTGAACTGCCCACTTTGCCATCTAATTGGAGCTACCAATTATCTATGAGTAATAACTCTGTAAAGTTATGTTAACCTTAATTATTTTCTGATGATATGAAATGATCAGTTTTTTGAAAGGCTATGTTTTATATGAACGAATGATTGTCCAATTTTCTTTGAAACATAATTGTGGTATCCTTAGCAAAGGCCCTCGCCCATGGGACATAATACTGTGGCTTATGGTCATGAGGCCCTAGCCCGGGGGTTTATATCGTGGCCTAGGCCCTCGCTCGGGGGAAACAATACCGTGGCCAATGTATAAGATATGTTACCCGGTACCGGAGGTTCCTTCATGGAACTTAATAAGCTTGACCCAAGAGACAAGTTTGTGCTAATGGATGTACCACACATGATTTGAATATGGACAAGATTATGATTCAGTTCCGTTATCTGATTATGATTCTGTTTGCTATGAGATTTGAGTTATGTTATGGGCATCATTCATTAAAGTCTTTACTCTGTTATTATTCACTGGGCTATAGCTCACTATTTATATTATGTATGTAGGTGAGCAGGCACGTGACCAGGCCCAGAGTTGACGACATATGTTCCTTTTTTGTCAGCCAACCTTTGTGCCTCCCGAGGAGGTTCCGAATGAAGTCAAGATTTGTGGCTGTTTTTGTATAATCATGTTAGACTTTGTTTGTTGTTAAGTTTTGGACAAGCTGTCTGTTAATACACTACTAAAAGTGTCATGTAAAGGTTATGTTTCTCAACATCACTCATATGTTCATAAAATTTTTAAATGATGCGTATCATGTACGTCTTCACGGCTCAATGGACTATATTTATATATTGTATATTTGCTTCCGCAGCCCCTAACTTTATGTTAATCAGTCAAGAGGCCTTTGGTAATCCAATGATTAGTGGCCGGTTACGATACTAAACCCATGGGGGCGGGTTTGGGTCATGACAGAGTGGTATCAGAACACGAGTTATACCGCACACACAAGTCCATATGAGCTTAGGATGTCCTAGTAAGAAGTAGGGGCATCCCATCTGCATGTCTAAGTGTAATTGTTTGAAAGTGTAAGCATAAATCTAATAATGATCATATGAATTTGAATAAAGTAATGAGGACTATTTGCCTATGTTTATAAAGTTCTGTTTACCTATAGCAAATGGACAATGCAAGAAGTGATGATACAGCAGGGTCCTCAGATGCCCAGATGAACAGAATGGAACAAATGCTTACAGATTTAACTGAAGTGGTAATGCAATAATAGAGGTAACAACCTTTACCACCTCCACCTCTGTCGGCTCAAGTTGAGGCGAGCAATAACGACATAATTAACATGACTCAAAAATTTATGAAGATGAAGCCGCCAACTTTATTCTGTGGCATTGAACCACTAAAGGCAGAAACTTGGCTACTGGAGATGGAAAAATTATTTTAAGTGTTTCCTTGTTCCGAGGTTCAGAAAGTCTTATTGGCCACCTACACTTTGAAGGATGAAGCTCGGAGATGGTGGTTACTAGTTCGAAATGGCAATGAGAACATGACATGGGCTCAATTTAATACAATTTTCTATGACAAGTACTTTCCCTAGTGCTTCTGAGACCGGAAGGTTTCAGAATTCCAGGAACTCAAACAAGGCAGAATGTCTGTAGTTGAGTATGATGCTAAGTTTACTGAGTTAGCCAGGTTTGCTCCTCATATGGTGGACACGGACTACAAGAAGGCCAGCAATTTTGAGGGTGGTCTAGATTTAGATATACTAGATCGGGTGGGAGTTCTCAACCTACCTACGTATGTGAATGTTTTGGATAGAGCACTGATGGCAGAGGCCATTCTGGTAGCAAAGAAACAAACTACAATTCCACAAACTGAATGGAAAGGCAAGAGGGCTGGGTTTAATTTTAAGAAGGCCTGGTCATTTTTGAAGAAGCAAAATACAGGATCCTCCAGTAGTTCTAGTCAAAGTAGTGGATCCATACCAAACTGTCCAGATTGTGGCAGGAGGCATAGAGGAGTATGCCATCGTGCATCTGGTGCCTGTTACCAGTGTGGCAAAGTTGGCCATATGATAAAGGATTGTCCAGTGAGATCCGGGAATGCCAGTCACCCTGCAGCGAGTTCAGCTGGGTCTGCTTCAGTGGCCAAATCAAACATCAAAACTAATGGCAGGGGCAACAATGGGAATGAAGCATTGAGACAAGGGAGAGTGTTCACCTTGGTACCTGGCGATATACAAAACACTGAATCAGTAGTGTCAGGTATCATTTCTATCTGTGCTCAGAATGCATATGTGCTGATTGATTCTGGTTCCACACATTCATTCGTATCGCATGCGTTTTCTCGGAAATTAACTAGACCGTTAGAACTTATGAATTGTTTACTATCTGTATCTACATCATCTGGGGGTTCTATGATTTGTGTTTATGTTTATCCAGCATGTGATCTTATGATTGGCGAAATGACATTGTATGTTGATTTATTACCCTTGAACATCGATTATTTTGATTGTATTATGGGTATGGATTGGTTGACTAAGTATTGTGCCACCATTGATTATGTGAATAAACCTGTTGTATTTCGTCTACCCAGTATGCCTGAGTTTACTTTCACTGGAAATGGGGTAGTCCCTCCGCCATACTTGATTTCATTTATGAAAGCTAAAAGACTATTAAGAAAGGGGTGTTGGGGCTATTTGTGTAGCGTGTTGACTGTGTCTTCGAATAATACTAGTGTAGAAACTATTCTTGTGATTTGTGATTTTCCTGATATGTTTCCCGATGATCTACCCGGGGATTTAATTGATAGGGAAATTAAATTTACCATTGATGTAATACCTGAAACACAACCCATCTCAAAGACTCCATATAGGATGTCGATTTCTGAACTGAAAGAATTAAAAGTCCAACTTCAAGAACTCTTAGACAAGAAATTCATTCGCCCAAGTACTTCACCTTGGGGTGCTCCAGTGTTATTTGTCAAAAAGAAAGACGAATCTTTGAGGCTATGTATCGACTATCGAGAATTGAACAGAGTGACCATTAAGAATAAATATCCATTACCCCGAATAGATGATTTGTTCGACCAACTTCAAGGGGCCCAAGTGTTCTCTAAAATTGATCTTAGGTCCGGATATTATCAGTTAAAGGTTAAGGCAGAAGATGTAGAGAAAACCGCATTCAGGCATAGATATGGACACTATGAATTCTTGGTAATGCCTTTTGGGGTAACAAATGCACCTGCAGCTTTTATGGACCTAATGAATAGGGTTTTCAAATAATATCTCGATGAATTCATTGTTGTGTATATTGATGATTTTTTGATGTATTCTAAAGACAAGAAAGAACATGGGAACCATCTGAGAACTACCTTCCAGATTTTGAGAGAAAATGAATTGTATGCTAAATTGTCCAAATGTGAATTCTGGCTTGACAGTGTAGCATTTTTGGGGCATGTAATCAATAAAGATGGTGTCTCTGTTGACCCTCAGAAAATTGAAGCTATTGTGGATTGGCCTAGACCGACCAATGTAACAGGAGTTAGAAGTTTTCTGGGACTGGCTGGTTATTACAGAAGATTTGTGAAAGACTTCTCAAAGCTTGCAATGCCATTGACACAATTAACACAAAAGAATGTACAGTTTGATTGGGATGGTTAGTGTAAATCAGCCTTTCAAGAATTGAAAACCAGACTGGCGACTGCACCAATCCTAACTTTACCTAATGGTACTGATGGGTTTCAAATTTACAGTGATGCTTCGTATAAAGGGTTGGGCTGTGTACTGATGCAAAATGGGAAGGTAATTGCCTATGCTTCTCGACAGCTCTGTCCTCATGAAAAGAATTATTCGACCCATGATCTTGAACCGGCAGCTGTGGTGTTTGCCTTGAAAATCTAGCGTCACTACTTATATGGGTTAACTTGTGAAGTATTTGCTGATCATAAAAGCTTGAAATATTTCTTCACCCAAAACGAATTGAACATGAGACAGAGGCGATGGTTAGAGCTAATCAAAGATTATGATTTGCAGATTTTGTATCATCCAGGGAAAGCTAATAACGTAGCAGATGCTTTGAGCCGAAAATCAATGGGATTCTGTCATGTTTGCTTACCAGCTAGAAAAGAATTGTTATATGACTTGGAA